AGGGGGAGAGGGAGAGGGAGAGGGAAAGATACAGACCTGCCAAGATGTTAATGCAGGACTTCTCAGAGCCTTTACTTTGCTAATGTGTACAGAACACATCATGGCCCTACTTGAAATCTGTCTGGCCGGTTTTCTGGGTGCTTTTTGTGTCTGCTAAAGAGATCTAATCCTAGTAATAAGTCTGCATAAACTCAGCACTTAAGTGATCAGCACTAATTTACTGAATGATACACATCGTTTCTCCAGGTACACAAAGGTCACCTCTAGGCTCCAGAGTGCTAGGTTTGGGATTACCAAGCCCAGACTATGTCCCTGGCAAAAATCATTTACTACTCCCATCCAGCAACCCCGTGCAGACGAGCCTGGTTCTGCATAGCCCCTGAACAGCACAGATCACTGGGATGAATGCTACATGGAGGGCCCTTGGGAAAGCTTCCTACAACCATCTTTATTTATTGGAACTGGTAATTGCACCAAAACTCATGTTGAAACTTAGCCCCCATTTCATATTTTAATGGGGTTTGGAGACCACGAGGGTGGGGCCCAGTGATGGCTTTAGAAGATGAGGAGACTGAGCGAGCACGTTCACTTGTCTCATGCATGACACCTTTGGCCTGGTTACCACACAGCACGAAGGCTGTGCGCTTGGATTCCCAGTACCACGAGATGAGTCTCAATTACTTAGTCTCAGGCATTTTGTTATGATAGAAAATGAACTAAGACAGTAATGCAATGTCTTAGTCACTTTCCTTGTCATTGAGACACAACAGCTGACACTCGCAACTTTAAAAAGAAGAGGTTTATTTTGGCTCATGAATTTTACAGTTTTCAGTCCATAGTTGGCAGACTCCAGCATAGAAGCCACGGTGCAAGGCCCTGCCACAGAGGAAAGTGGCTCAAGGCATGGCAGCCAGGAAGCAGAGAAACAGGCAGAGGGAGATGCAGCTTTCCAGGTCGCACCCCCAGAGCCTCTTCCAACTGGACCCCACCTCCCACCACTAAGTCCACTCAATGGCCCCCATGACTCAGTCACCTTCCAAGACCCACCCATGAGCATATGAGGCTTTTGTGGGGACATCCTTGATCTAAATCATAACATACAGGCACATGGTCTAAAATCCACAAAGTTCAAAGATGAAAAGTCTCCTCTCTGCTTCTCAGAGGCACTGGGTGGTAATAGTTCTTTGAGGAAGAGTTGTTATTATCTCCACTTTCCAGATGGGAAAACCAAGGCTGCAACAAGCTCAACAACTTTCCCAAAGCCAGCACACCTCTCTGTAGGCCTCTACCCCACCTTGGAGGCTTCCGGTCTCACCTCAACAATTTACAATGCCAAGGAGACGCACACTGAATTATGGGTGAGAGTGTCTTCAGCGGTCAGACAAGACCCCCATGCTAAGTGTCCTACAGACTGGACACCCAGAGGGGAGACAGGGAGGTGAACACAAGCAGAACTGCCAAGAGCGCTTCTGCATGGATCCTGAGGACAGGTACCCAAGCCAAGTTCAAGGCCACTGGGGCTTGGGGTACCAGTAAGATGCTCACTTCATGCCCCTTTGCTTAGCAAAGGCCTGAGGAACTGTTGGTGCCAGCTCTGCAGCTGCCCGCCCCTGGGGCACCAGCTCTCTGTCCTCCAACATGGGCTGAGCCTGGAGGGTCAAATGAAGCAAGCATTGACACCATCTGCGAACAGTGGGGCATGCAAGGGCTTAGGACCCACGCCACTCTGCTTGCCCAACTCCACCCTGGAAATGGCTCTGTCTTTTTCTTTTCCTAAGAAACATGCACATACCACACAAAACTAGAACAATAATAACAAAGGAAAATGAAGAAACTAAGGCTGCGTGTTACACTAAGCACGGAGAGCCCTGCTTAACACTGTGGGCTGAGGTTTCTCCCACCTTTCCCAGGCATACACATAATTTTTTTCCTTGTTTGAAAAACAAGACAGAGTAGATACAACCTGTTTCCCCTGCCTCCACTACATGTCATAGCAATTGCTCTGTGTTAATAAGTAATGGTCGCCATCATCATTTTTTAATGGCTCCATGGTTGGGCTTTATTAAACATAATTAATCCAGGCTCCCATGACAGACAGTAAAAGTACTTCCAATTTTTCTCTCTTATGAGCTGTGCCGCAGCCAGCATCTCTGCATAGATGCGTACATCATCAGATAGTGGTTGGTTATTACCTTAGGTAATATTCCAAGAAGTGGAACTGCCAGCACAAGGGATATATACATATTTAGGTGATGATGTAGATTGTCAGATTGCCCTCCAGGAACTAAAGTCACATTTCCAGTGTGGTACGTAAGTGTCCTCAGGGCCGGGATCTCATGTTATATGCAGGAGTAATTTCTTTGGGCTGGTGGCTTAGAAGAGAGGCATTTGTCAGGTCCTGAGGTCACCAGAGTTGGGTGCTACAAGAGGGACCACGGACCTGCCCTCAGGGATGGGAAAGCACCAGGCCGAGGACACGGTCCATGCT